CAGCGCTGGATATGTTCACCAAATGTATTGCCGTAGAGTTGGGACACAAAGGCATTCGTGTTAATAGTGTTAAGTATGTAATCAAATGTAAAACTCATTATGTTTTTATTAATTAATAATTATATGTGTTAAGTCCCGGGGCAGTTAAAACAGACATTGGTCGTGACGATACAGTTGGTCAAAGTGGTGTTATACCCTGGTATGAAAAATTTGGGAAACTATACCCTGTAGGGCGACATGGAGTGGGAGACGACATCGCAAACGCTGTGCTATATTTGGCATCAAATGAGAGTTCATTCATAACGGGAAGTGTTTTGGTGGCCGATGGCGGACATCTCGCCGCTAATGTCAGTCCTTAAGAAAATTGAATCATAATTAAGTTTCATAAAAATTTTGATTTAATAAAATATTTTAATATTTATTTGTATCGTGTCAGGGCAAGTAATTAATAACATTTTAATTGTAATTTTTAAATATAGAGTATTTGTTAAGAACATCATCTGTTATTAAATGACCCGGTACTCTATAAATAAAATTGAATTGAATTGAATTACGGTATTGTACTGTATTATGATAACTGACTATTGAGAATCTCAATTTGAGATAATAATTGTTTAGCGCATATGCAGCAAATATTTTGTGAAAAATAGTTTAAATCTTTTAAGTTTAGGTAAACATATATGAAAACTCATATTAAAGTTTGCTATTTTGAAGATGTCTCTTACCCATAACTTTGTGGGAAAGGTAGCCCTAGTGACCGGGTCCAGTTCAGGCATAGGTGCGGCCACTGCCATACTGTTTGCCAAATCGGGTGCCAATGTTGTGGTGACGGGACGTAATGCCACAAAAGTGTCAGAAGTGGCCAAACAGTGTCTCAATGTGTCTCCAAAAGGATTGAAAGCACTGGAAGTGGTGGCAGACGTTACCAGAGATGAAGACCTCGTAAGACTTGTGGACACAACTGTCCAAACATTTAGCAAAATAGATATTCTCGTGAATAATGTTGGCACTGATGAATCTGCACCAATTTGGAGTACTGATTATATGGACATATTTAAAAAGACTTGTAAAATAAACTTGGATTCTGTGGTATTTCTGACACATATTTGTGTCAAACATTTGGAGAAAACTAAAGGAAATATTGTTAACATATCCGCCGTTTCAAGCACTCAAACGGTACTCAAGAAATTAAATTTATATTAAAATTTAATATTTAAAAAATCTCATTTCAATGTAACAGTTACCACAATATTCGGCATATTGTATGTCAAAGTCAGCGCTGGATATGTTCACCAAATGTATTGCCGTAGAGTTGGGACACAAAGGCATTCGTGTTAATAGTGTTAAGTATGCAATCAAATTATATTTATATATAAGTGTTTATATATTTTACAAATATATAGTCCCGGAGCTGTTGATACAATTACTAAAGATTTGACCCACGATTATGATGTTTATAATGTCAACATTTACGCAAAACTATATCCTGTGGGCCGGTATGGTGTGCCCCAGGATATAGCTAATACTGTGCTATATTTGGCGTCCAATGAATCGTCATTTATTACGGGAACAGGTCTTGTGTCAGATGGTGGACATCTGGCCGCTAATGTCAACATTTCTCAATTGCAATAGTTATATAGCATTATGATTAATAAATTGATCATTTATTCAAAGTTATAATTTTTATGTAGACTTTAATAAATATTTAGTTGAATTTTTTAATTAATGGCTTTTATTTAGTTATTATTTTTACAATAAATAAAATTGCTATTTTTGTTATTTGTATTTTAAATATTATTTTGAGTATAAAATTATTTAATATACAATATATTTATGAATCATAAATTATGATTTTGCTTGAATTGAGTGCTGA